CTATTCTAGAACTGGGGGACCTTTAACCTTGTAGACACATTAGTGGTTGCGGATTTTACGGCTATTTCGTGCACAGGCAAATTAACCACTACGCGTAGATCCTTAGTAGTCCTTATGAAATAGTAATTGATGAGTGACCTTCTCTCTCTTTCTTATATTGAACCTTGGTGATGATTGTTTAGGTAAGTCGCCAACTTACTACGGAGCATGCATCCTCCAGAGACAAAACACTGCAATACCAGGTGCAGTTTTAATTTGCAGGTTTAGTACCTCGGAAACTTTGTTTTTTTTTTGTGAACTGTGACTTTATCATTTGATTTTTTCCTGCGTAGGTTAGGGTTGCTACCATAGGAATCGTAATTATAACGATTTCTGTGGTTGCTACTTACGAGTGAGCGTTGTTGCCAATAAGCCGTTTTCAGACGACGAATAAAGACGTAGGGTCTTTATTCGTCGTCTTTGGCTATTTAACAGTAAATCTGTGCATGAGCTGCCAATCCCCTCGTACCAACGTGTTATTTTGTGATTACTTAGATTTTTGTGTAGTTTTTCTTGGTTTTGGAGACAAAAAAATCACTAATCATGCCTTGCATGCCATCATTTGTGATCGTGGCTATGAATTAATTTATAAAGTTTTCATGCCATGTATAGTAGAATTTCAATTTGGAATAACTGCTATCCAACTTTGAAGATGTTATAATCGTACAGGTACTGGTAACTGTAAAAACCTAATCAGCAATTACAAGTCATCATTACATTCAAAGAATATATTTTTATTTTAACTCATATATATATACAATAACTATATAAACACAATCTAACCAATAAGTAGTCTAATTATATATAATAATTAGACTAGTTATTGTTTACTTTTTTTTATAGGGCGTTTACACGCATGGCGAGCCACAACATAAATGTATAAAAGATAAGAAAGAACATTAAAGGATAAAAAATTGTGTTTACAACAATGAATTTCCAACAATCAATCAAAATAGATTATCTCCTTTATCATTTCTCACTTAATTGAAACATTAAACTATCAAGAAACAAATTCAAAATTTTTGATGGTTTTTAAATATAGGTACATAATTAATAATGAATTTTATTTTAAAACACTACGTTTATTAAAAAAATGTCTACGTGTCTGGGCTCCATCTATAGCATTTTTGAAGTGAAACTTCTTTAGAATCGTTGTGATTTGAAACTCGATAAAACGAAAATGCGTCACGATAAAGAAACAAACACATAAATGTTTAGGATTAAATCAGCGAGAGAATGAATTAGAATATATTACACATTATTTTTAATATAATATTTTGACGGTATGAATATTTTATCTTGTTATTTAATACTAGCTGGGATCCGGGACTTCGTTCGCGTAGAATTTGAAAAACAATTTTATAGGGATTTTCTGAGATAAAAAAATCGGAAGTTTCACTTCTGCCGTGTGTGAATGTGAAATACACACACTTTTTTTACTGAATAAAATATTAGGTGTGTGGTAACAATGCAGTGCAATGCAAATGCTAAGTAATTAAGTATAGACATATTACACATTTTGCTAACCCATATATTTTCTGATATCTAATATTATGCAGTGATTACTGTGATTACTTTGAATACAATTTTGATTATTATTATCAATAGTACGACCGATTCTATTGCAATAGTTGAGTTTCTGATTGCGTCAGATCTATTTACCATAGTTGGGAATTTATTACTAAGTTTTAAAGTTACCAACTTAACGGTTCTTCCCCTAAATTGTGGGAGTAGAGACTTATGAAATTATTTTGGGATTTTTAATAATGTTTATTTGCTAACTTTTGTACTTTAATTTTATTTTATCAAGGGTTTTTGGAAGTAAGATATCTGATTTTATTTCAACAAAATTGTTTATTCTAATTTGTTTCATTGCACTGGTGGCGCAATAGCCAAAGTTACACAATATATAAAATTTAAACAAGAAATTGATGTGATGAGTCTGAATATTTCTTGTATATATGTGTGCTCCGCGTTTTTATTTATTTTTATGTGAAAATAATTTCAAGTTAGTTTTAACTGTATTTGCAATAACGTTATTGAAAGTATTTTGTACAGTTAACTCAAATTATTTAATATATAAATAATGTGGTTTTAGGGCGTTTTTCACCTAATATGGAATTTTGGCCTTTGCAGTTTTAGAAGTCAAGATTTTAATTAAGAGGTAAGCCGGTAACTAAGTAGAATTGCTAAGACTAATTAGACTGGCAACATTAGTTGCCGGTGGTAGGGATGCCGATTCTTTCCGAAAAAGATTGATTTAGAGATCGATTCAAATCGCAAGCTTATGAATCGAGCCATAAATAAATCATGGTACAAGAGATTGATTGCCTAAAAAGCGATTTTTTTCGTGTCTGCATTTATACTGTTAAAGAAAAGAAGAAGAAAAACGTTTTATGGAAAATAAGGAAGGTACTGTAACAACCGATCTCTTATCTATACTATTATTAAAAAGCGGAATAGTTTTATTTATTTGTTTGGTTGAAGAAGTTGAGATTAAAGCAAACTCATGAACTATTGGTTCAAATTGAAAAATTCTTTTAATGTTGGACCACGCTACGACCAATAGGAACCGAGTATCAATAAAATGTTGCAAAACCGGAGAAAATTTATTTCTTTTGAGAGAGTCAGCTAGTCATTAATATCAGAGAATATTTTTTTTATTTTCTTTTAACATCTGCTAATATATGATGGATGGTGATAAGATATAAACTGTTTATAAAGTTAATCATCTCAATTATTTTTATGTAATTATCATATTCTTAGAACTTTGCTAAAACTATATAAACTCTTCTCAAAAACTTGTGACAACTGTAATAACTATAATATTCAAGTCTTCTAACTTCATAATTATGCATAAAATATAAATTACATTAAAAAAAGGATGTTTATACGCTATTCACGAATGAGCTCACTAATGTATTAAGCAGCTAAAAACAAAAGTATTTTTACTATTATACTAAGGGTGACTGTACATATTAGACGAAGTAATAAGGGAACCAATTATTTTAAACAGTTAATTCAAGAAAAGCACGAATAGTTTTTGTTCAGATCGATTATATTAATCGTAAACATTATGTAAAAAGTAACTGAACTGCTATTAACAATATCCTCGCTATTTAGAAGCGTTGACAGTAGAAAGGTTTACAAAGATAGCAATAGTAGTGTGTTTATAAGATTTTAATATTATGGTACCTACGCCACTTTAACGTGTTGAAAGCAATGGCAAGCTGTCATGGGTATCGACTTTAGTACAGTTTATAGGTAAAACACAAACTGAAATAACTTTTAAACGCAAAGTTTTGAATATCTGGTAATTAAAACTACAATCAACGATGATATTACCAGCGTAATAAATACATCAATAATCCCCACCCTGAGATACGCAAAGCAGTACAAAAGTTCCATACATACCTGCCATTGTCCTTTACTTGTTACATTAAAAAGTTAGTAAAATATAATATATGAAATACCTTATAGTTTCCAAAGTTTGATGTCTCAACTTTTGAGAAACAACAGTCTATCAAGTCTAAGATCCCAGCGGTTCCGCTCATCACTTTCGATATTACCGCAGTCGAGAAAAGGCGCAGATGATCCCCCGATAGTCATATACTTCATTACTATTACATAAGTGAAAAACTGATTTGAAAATATCAATGAGTAGCTGCAAAAGCGATACTGAAAGGGCATTTAGTATTAACTTGTTCTGATGAATTCTTTTAGAGGCATATAAGGCTAGCTCTCGTTTGCATTTGGGATTCTCTACTCTACATGTGTGTGTGAATAATTTTTGGCTTTTATCTAAACAGAAAAAAACGAATGTTGATTTTCTAGATTGAAACATCGATCTACTGAATAGCTTCAGTGCTACATATCGAAAACTTGATGGCCCAAATATTCGATTCTTTTATGAATCGATTTCGATCGCCATCCCTAGCCGGTAGAGCGCAGTTTAGGGGTGTCCACTTAAAAAATATATCGATATTTATATTCGATGTAAAATATTGGATCCCAGCATCGATGTTTATCGATATATCGCTAGAAAACATCGATATTTTTTCACTATCGAATACTTTCCACAAAAATTTAATATTACCTTTTTCCAGTGAAACGCACAAAGTTTGTGGTCCTTGATTTTGTAAGTATGAATGTAGAATTAGAGACCAGAGTAACATAGCTAAACTAGTAGTGTAATACATATAAAAGATCATTATATTATATCTTCAATATAAAACACTGTCACAAACGAGTAGAGGTTAGGTTCATAAACATAATAGAAATATAATATTATATACCTTTTCAACTTCGAACTAGCAATCAAACGATAGGTCAAATCAGTTATTTTAGAGTAATAAATTGTAGTAGCAAGTAAAATTCTTACATAAATTTGTCTTAGATAAACAATTAAAACAATGATTTATTTGCGTTACCGCCAAACAGAAGAAGACGACGCAAGAAGAGTGAAGTGAGTGTAAGTAAATATAATGAACCTATAGAATCCACAGACTATACATACATTGAGAGTGAATAGTCGATCGATCTGTCAGGATAGATTAGATAATTAAGATGGTCACTCACAGATGTCACTATCTTAATGAACCTTATTTAAAATTGAAGGCATCAAGTAGTGTTAAAATTATTTAGTTCGTTAATAGATTCGACAAGAAAATAAAAAAAGCAAATATTCGATGTTTCTATAAATAAATATATCGATATATCGAATACAATAAATGTTAGTCAAAACATCGAATCAATCCGATATATCGTACGGAATACATCGAATAAATTCGATATATCGATGTTAAGTGAATATCCCTAGCGCAGTTCAGCGCAGTGGTGAGAGAAGAGAATTGGAAGAAGTGCATGAATACAGTTTTCACTTTTCCTTGAATAAAATCAATAAAAGCTCGTATTTGCTATTATTACTAATTAAAGGAAACGCTTTGCAGTACATATTCATAATGGAGAACCTTTCTATAGGTAAGTATTGTTGTTCCATATTCTAACCTAATCCTACACGTATGCAGTTCTATTAAAGAGAAATATTTTTTAGGTGAGATTTATACTTCTGAAAAAAGAGGTTGCGACGAAACTGGAGATGGGACAGAAAACAAACCTTTTAAGACAATCATGCAGGCTATGCGTAAGGCAGGAAAGGAACCTTTTCCTACAATTTATGTAGACTCAAAAGAGGAAGGCAAGGTATATGATGTTTGTGCTAAATCTCAATTAAAAAAAATTACGAAACTGTGGGTCAGAGAAAACTATAAGACTGCTGACAAAGCCAAGGCAGAGGATGAGACTAATGAAAAGAGACACCAAAACTTGGAAGAGGCTAAAAAGATTGTTATAGAACAAGATCCCAGTCTACCGAAGGCCAAAATAGTGAAGATATCTGCAAGTGAGTTCATAGCCATATTAATGCTTGCTTATTCTAGAAATTTAACTACCTTAGACTGAAAATAGAATCGGCCAGAACATCTTCATTTGTATTATCCTAGCTTTAATTCACTTTGCTTAATTCACTAAATGAATAAAAGACAAGTGATAAAGTTTATTGCTGCCTGGTTACTTTAGGTTTAGCTTGGCTCAGGTTTATTTGTGATCACAAAAGAAAAGGCAAGCCAAGCTAAACCTATTGTGTGAAATTTGTTTCAAATTATACTAATTATCTATACTTATATTAATACTTAAAGAAAATTCTTTTGGCCCCTATTTAAGGAATAAAGCATTGAATTGTTCAAATTCAAGTCAGACAATCTCTAGTTAATACTTATACCCTAGTAAATTATGAGTGTGTACATTAAAAGTATGGTAGTAGTGTGTACATTAATAGTTGTAAATCAGTAGTTGTAATATGTGCAAAATATCTGATAATTAAAGTTATAATTAGAGATGATATTACAAGCCAAATAAATACTACCATGAGATACGCAAAGCAGAACAAAAGTCCCATATATGCCTGGCATTGTCCTTTACTTGTTACATTAAAAAGTTAGGAAAATATAATATATATTATAGCTTATAGTTTCCGATGCTTGATGATATTATGCAATCATTGCATTCATACATACACTTAATTATTGATAACTACATGAAATACATTGAGAATGTGTGCTTCAAGAGGCACAAGTGCTCTGATATCCCTCTGATATAAAGTATTCCCTAATTGCATGTAGTAGTTGTAGGTTGTGGAAAATGATGCAATATATAATTGCATTTATGCATACACTGTCACTGATTGATAAGTACATAAACACACTAAAAGTGACATTACTCTAACTTTTCTGTTATTTTGCCATTATATAGTGCCTGGCTAATAGGGCCAAAATTTCCTAATTGAATATATTTTTAAAATTACATCATATTTCCATATCATTACTTAATATGAATTTTTAACTCATATTAAGTATTATATGAATCTTAAGTATGTGTTACTTTATAACAGTAAGCAGGCCATAGAGAAGTTGTTATTAAGTAATTAATATTATAAAATTGAATGTTCAGTTGATTGAAAAACAAAGGCAAAAAGTAAGTAAAGTAAAAAGTAAAAGTAAATACCATGGTGTGATGTTAGATCAAGGTATTGTCAATCATATTGTCAGGAAAAAAGAAACCATTTAAAAGTATAAGTGGAAAACAACATGGTTCTACTTATAGTAAGCCGATATTAGTTTTAGTCACATTAGTGCAAAGAAAACCCACCACTGGTTCTTTGGTCAACAGAGAGGGTCTGAGTATGGCACACTGTGACATGGAAGACCTTTTTAAAAATTATTCTAAAATGTGCAAGTGGTTTAAACAGTAATTTGAGGACCACTCGCTTTCCACTAGTGGCTAACATGGTTGCAGTGAGTTTACTCACATGAGTACATTAATTTCAATTGAAAATCTTTATTTCTTAAAATTGATCACCATTGGACCTTGTAAAGATTATATTGATTGACCATGAATATGTATTACACCAGCTGCCGACAACCGAGGTGAGCGCATTTGCGTTCGGGGCTGGGTACACCGCCTTAGACGACAGGGGCGCTCTCTGGCGTTCCTCACATTACGTGATGGTACTGGCTATTTGCAATGTGTACTCCACGGTGTTCTCTGCCAGACTTATAACGCCCTAGTCCTGTCTACTGAGTCATCTGTCACGCTTTATGGCAAACTGGAAGTGGTGCCTGAAGGAAAAATGGTAAGATTTTTTTTAAATTTAACATCATGTTACACATCACATCAACAGCCTTTAATAGTTCACTACTGAACATAGGCATCTCCTTAGAAAGGAGGTTTTGGCCTGCTATACCACACTGGCCAGACAGTTTGGTATAAGGTTTGTGAAAAGTTTTTTTTCTCTTTGCAGTGCTGTTGTCTTGCATAGTTTGCTCCCTTCTTATGGCACCCACGGAATGAATAGGTGTGGTGACACTCCATATTCTTAATTCCTCACTGTCAGTTTCACAGGTCCTGAAATCTCTGTGAACCGTCCCACACCTCATGGGTTTAGGTATCAGGGAATATCGAACGTAGCTACAATAAAAAATAAATGACATGTTGCGTGTCTGGTTCTGACGGAACTCAGAAGTCAGTGGCTTGGTGCATTGTTAATCTTGTTAATTAAGGGTTACGAAAGTTTAACATGTTTGAGATTAAAACATTTATTTACATGAGAGCTGTTTTCTTCTTCGCGGGTTTTCCTGAATCTTAAAATGGTATATTTTCATCATCAACATGGCGTTCTATCATGGAATACCTTGTAAAACAATCCTTCAAAATCTTTGCAGTAGACTAATCGAATGTTTTAAATTTTACTAGACAAGCCTTAGTGATCATCATCTGTTAGATTTCTTTCACAAGTTATTTTTATGGTATAAGGGGAGGTCACCTGATGGTAAGTGACTACCGCCGCCTATGAACACCTGTAACTCGAGAGCCACATTGCCCCCCCAAAATCAGGGGAAGGGTTTCGTGTCCGGCAACCTCACTAAACAGTTGTTTTTTCTTGTAGGCACCTGGTGGTCACGAGCTGACTGTAGATTACTGGGAGCTGATCGGACTCGCGCCGCCAGGTGGCGCTGATGCGATCCTTAACGAAGAAGCTTTACCTGATGTTCAGCTTGATAACAGGTGTGTGTACCATTGTGTAAATTAGATAAAAAAAATGAATGTTACTTTAAAGTGATTATTTTGTCGCCTGCCATGGAAGAATCCTTAGTCTGATTTATGGAATAGTAATTGATGAGGGACTTTCTCTCTCTCCCTTTCTTTCTTATATTGAACCCTGGTGATGATTGTTTAGGTAAGTCGCCAACTTACTACGGAGCATCCTCCAGAGCCAAATACTGCAATACCAGACGCAGCTTTAATTTAATCCATTGTTCCTTCTCCTCGTCGTCCTCCTTTACCGTCTATACTACCGTATCGTACTATAGTACCGTTCTGACATTTAATAAAGAACAATCGATTTAACTTGTCACTCAATTACCGTATCGTAACAAATTAATATTTGTCAAACAAGGACGGAATAATTTTCTTTTTATTGTTGTCTCATGTGACTAATGTCATAATAATAAGCATAAAAATATGATTTTATCTACTACTACTACTAGTGTCGGGCAAAGATAATATAAGCCTTAATTGAATGTACTTTAGGCACATAATGATCCGCGGCGAGAACACGTCGAAGGTGCTCCGCGCGCGAGCGGCGGTGACGCGCGCCTTCCGCGAGCACTTCGCGGCGCGCCGCTACACGGAGGTGACCCCGCCCACGCTGGTGCAGACGCAGTGCGAGGGCGGCAGCACACTCTTCAAGTTCAGCTACTTTGGGTAACACGTTTACTATATTTTATGGTCTAGGACAGGGGTTTGGGTTTCCAAATTATTTTGGGCAACAGACCCCTTTTTTATAATGAACTGACACCCCCATAGCCAAATTACTGCATGCTTATCGACTTGTTGAGTTTTTTAAAAGTAAAACAATGATACTTCTTATTAAAATAGTAGTCATTCCTTTAACAAGTTGGTGTACATAACACAATAATTAGACAGTATCTAGAATTTATTCAAATAAGAACTTGCATTAATTAATGGGGGTTGATTTTTAGACTCCCAAAATCAGTTTTCGTTTATGTCGACCCCTGGGAAACCAATTCGAACCCAAGGAGTCAATATCCACCACTTTGGGAATCCCTGGTCTAAGAAGACAGACTGGTCACCTCACCTCCACCTCACCTGGACCAGTCTGTCTTCTTAGACCGTGACTACCGTCGCCCCTGAACACTTGGAACTCGAGCCATAAGTTGTCGACCTTCGACGCCTCCTCCCCCTAATTCAGGGGGTGCCCACACTCACTCGGTCAATGAAAACAGATTAGTTTTCGATACCGGTTATCTGTGAGCCGTGGTATCACTCCCACGGTAAATTTAAATAGATCTTGAATCAAATAAAATTTTATAATTACTACTCACTATGTTATTTATTCAAGAAAGTAATAAATGTAATATTGATAGTAATAGCAATAAATGTAAAACTGTGTGATTGTGTGTGCAGTGCAGAGGCGTATTTAACGCAGAGTTCGCAGCTATACCTGGAGACTTGCCTGGCGACGTTGGGAGACGTGTACTGCATCGCTCAGTCGTACCGCGCTGAACAGTCGCGGACTAGAAGACATCTTGCCGAGTGAGTATTAAATAAATGATCGCAACCAGTTACGTTACCAGTTGCGGTAAAAACTGGTGTTTATCGGCAACCGCAACCGAAAAACTGCATATTTTTCTGCAATTGCGTTCAAAGAATTACGAAAACAATTAAAAGAGAAAATACATAGAATGGTTAAGAATAAAAGAACTTTAAATATCAGGCTACTTAAATCGCATGGCTGGTTTTTTTTTTATTGAATTTAATCCTTTATTTTGCTAAAAAACAATAATATCTTCCCACGAAAATACCTATAACAATAAAAAAAAAATTGTCACATCACATTACATACAAAACAATTAAATCGATTGGAAATAAAAGGAAAAAAATCGAAACTTGTTGAACTGTTCAAATGTATGTAATATTTCCTATTGACTTCATATTGGATATCACAGACATTAAAAAAAAATCTTTTCATATTACAGATACAGTCACGTAGAAGCAGAATGTCCATTCATCACATTCGAGGAACTTCTTGACAGACTCGAGGACTTAGTAGTGGATGTGGTGGAACGTGTGCTAGCGTCTCCCGATGGTCACCTTGTTTATGAACTCAACCCTAACTTCAAGGTATTTTATTATCTGATTAAAAAAAAATGCACTTTTGACTCCTGAGTTGCAGTGACTTGTCTGTTTGTTAGCCTTCTAAAGAAACATAAAAATATATAATGGAATAATATTTAATTCACAGAAACCAGAGAAGCCGTTCAAACGCATGACGTATCCGGAGGCTATTGACTATTTGCGTGAGAACAACATCACCAAGGAGGATGGGTCTTTCTACGAATTTGGGGAGGTAAGTCATATATATTAATCATTGTTGTGATTGGTTTGTATTCGTAACTTCTGACGTCATAAGTTAGGAGTTTGACGTGAGCGCCACGTGTTTGCTGACGGTTATGGCTAGTTTATTTTATGGACGGCTGTCTGCCCTCCTTGCAAATTCGTTTTCAGGAGGAAACAATGGGAATTTAGCTGTAAAGGAGCTGGAGCTGGGGTAAGATATAGAAATTCACTTCGATGGTAATTTGCTGTGTCATAAGCCGAGACTGTCTCGTACGGTCAAAGCGCCCCGCTCTTATAGTGCTATCGAAATTACTAGTATGATCCCTAGTATTCGATAGTCCGTTGTAGACAAATAAGAATTTTCTAGTATTAGTTACCAGATAATAGGGAATATGCATGTATTTTTTTATTTTTTTTAACGATTCTACTAGTTATTACATTACCAAAAATAAATATAACACATCCGAAATATAAACCGTTAAGCAATATTTTTTTTATTAAAATCACTATCAAATTGGGGGGCAATTTGAACACGTCCATTTTGGCGCGCTTTTTTTGTGACGTCAGATTACACTTTCAGACGAATTCGATGCCAACAACGGAGTGAAGTTCACAAAGTTTCTGAAAGTTAAAAAAGTGAGTGATAAAAATTAACTTATTACCATGGAAAAGCCAATAAAAACTTATTATAAATATTGTGCCGGTCCTTTGTGCCCAAATAATATCAAAACTGCACCTGAGCGTATTTTAGGTTATATTTATGTTATACGACTATTAACAAAACCATGAAAACGATCATTTAATAAAATTTATATAACTTGTTTACCTCGCAGCTTTTACTCCTCTGAGTTGAGCAGACGTAAAATCTGAATTAGATGCGAAATAGGTGCTCATCATAAACACGTCTATTTTAGGAAGATTATCTGATCAGTCAGATCAGATCAGTCATTGTGTTGAGTCTTTGTACACGGGAATTTAATAATTTAACACTGAAAACGTATTAGTTATTAACTTAAAATGAAACAAAAAATCACCAGAAACCAAATATTACAAATACACACAACTTGTTGACACTCTTGACCGTGTAGGTTGACGTCACGTTTTATTCAACCAATAGCGTTGCGTTTTAGAAATTTGCGAGGGAATCTTAAAAAAGCCAATTTTTGATTATTAAATTTTACTATTAAATTATAATAAATTTCAAAAATAATTGTATGGGTATCTTTTTTTAGCAATAAAAATTACAAATAAAAATATTTTGTCCATTTTGGTATCACGTGCATATTCCCTATTGCAGCGCCAGCTGGCGCATTCCATACAAGTCTCAAACAATGCTATGGCGCAACAGTCTGTTTATTAGCAGTCTGGCTACCGTAGCACAGGTTAAGCTTAGCTTGGCCTAGCCACAGCGTCGAACTTGAAACTAAGTTCGTTTGAAATTCGACGCTATGGCAGCGCTGTACGCAAGGCTGTTTCCTTAGAAAATAGCACTGCAGACGGCCATGTGTGAGATGCGTGAGGTTATTATTATTAATTATAACATTTTTTAGGACATTCCCGAAATGCCGGAACGCAAGATGACTGACGCGATTGGCGTACCAATAATGTTGTGCAAGTTCCCGGCGGAAATCAAGTCGTTCTACATGCCGCGGTGTAAGGACGACAAGCGACTTACGGAGTCGGTAGACGTACTCATGCCGGGAGTTGGAGAGATTGTGGGCGGCTCTATGAGGATATGGGACCACGCTGAGCTCATGGAAGGTATGACAAAATATTTGCTTAATATTGATTAGCTTATGATGTTAATGTAAGAAATTTAAATTGTAAAATTTTCTATGTAATAATTGCACATAACTTTTTTTTTCCGTGGGGAAATCCCCTCAGATACCACCTATCGGTGGCATGTCGGATTCGAACCGACTAAAACCGCACGCCGTCTCGGCTACTAATAGCCAGGGAACCAGGTATACCCTAGAAAGGAAGTCCCTGGTGCCCCGACATACCTCGGGTCATCTACAGACGAGTAGACGACCCCCCCCCCCCCCCGTGTGGGAACCCCATGTTCCCTGTGCTCCCTGGAAGCGAGCGCGCTTCGCAACGCGCTCGCCGCCACTCAGGCCTGCTTCTGCTAGGGTGACAGATGGCCTCACCTGTCACCCCAGTGTAATAATTGCACCTATAAGAATCTAATGTTCCTAAATCCATAAAGATAGTTATTGTTTTTGAAATGAATATTTTAACGAGTTAAGGTTCGCTGGTGTTGTTCACTATTCTTTGCACTTATTAACTTGTTATATCACAAAACGAGACTGTGACAACACTGGGACAAAGAGGCTATTTATAATAAGACAGGTTTATTACTTTCACCCCTCTTTAAACAACGACAACATCGTAGAATATTCTGGAATGTTCGAACTTTTACTAAAATATTTGTTTCATTCTACGTGTCTCAACTGGAGGCGACCTTCACAATATGATGGTCTGATCATACATTTAACTGTCTGACTTCGACCAAGTTCGTTCTTTCTTGAAGTATATTTGCGAAGTAAAATTGTCGGGTTTACATTTTTGACCAGCTTTAAATGAAGCTTCCTGACACGTCCGGATTTTTTTTTCATGTCGTCGTTTGTAAACCGATTTCAATTCCATATAAATTGAAAGAAAATGTAATATCTCAACGGGGAAAAGAAAATAATGAAAATACAGCATATTACAATATATTTAACAATTTAACGTGATTTCGGCACATTAAAATCATTGATAATTTTTTTAAATTTAGTTATAAATCTCTATGACAATTTCTGTCTGTATTCTGTACTTTGAAAATGTACAGGAATATTGCTTCCAGTGTATCTTAGATCTTATTAATTTTTTTTTTTTTTTTTTCAGGTTACAAACGCGAAGGCATCGATCCCACTCCTTACTACTGGTACACCGATCAGCGCAAGTTCGGGTCTGTCCCCCACGGCGGCTATGGGCTGGGCCTGGAGCGGTTCCTGTGTTGGCTGCTCGACAGATACCACATACGCGAAGTCTGCCTCTACCCTCGGTTTCTTGATCGTTGCACTCCTTAAATTGTTACTCAATAATGCTTGGTTAATAAATGTCTATGTTAACTGCTGAATATTTATATTATAATCTATACAAATAAATAAAATTGAAGTGTCTGTTTCTAATGTCAAAATAATAGGTAATTTTCATGATTACCCGGTTATTTGCACGATACCTATGCCTAAAAACCAGTTTAAATGTTTTTGTCTGTCTGTCTGTCTGTTTGTTCTGGTAATTTCCAAAACGGCTGGACCGATTTTGATAATATTTTACTACCAAGTAGCTGTCAATATAAGTAGTAACTTAGGCCATTTTTTCTCCCAGAAAACCCTATAAAATTTTGCCTGGTCCGGGAATCGCACTTACTAAGGCAGCGTTTTTCAAATTCCACGTGAACGAAGTCGCGGGCAACAGCTAGTTTTAACGTGTGCGTTACCCCAGCAAAATAATGTCGAAAATGGTCATTTAAACGTTATAGATAATTAGTTGCTCCCCTTCTGTAATTGTAAGGCACATTTTTAAATTTGTTTCACTTAAACTTTTTTAGTTATTTCAAAAAAACATTTCTTGCTGGGGTAACGTTTGAAACGTTACCGCAGCCAGACATTTTCTTTTTTAATTGTAATATTGAAATAAATGTTAACTAAATAATTAGTTATCTGGACTAGGTAAATGTTACAACTTATTTGGTATTTGTATTTTCTTCGGCTGCGAAGTTATTCGAGATCCTGCTGGAGTAACGTTTGTGGGTTTGCTGGATCTCTGAAACGGGTAAGCGGATTGTAACCATCTTTTGTACATAACTTCTTAAGTATTAGTTTTAATTTGTTCGACAATAAAATAACAAAAATAATGCACCGTTTAAAAATTATTTAGGTAAGTATGAAAACACTTCAATACGTCCTAACACTTTGAATAAGACCTCTAAAGACTTACTTTAAACGTTATTCTATTGCTTGTAACTACCTTCAAATGTATACGAATTTTCGTAAGAATACTGTAAGTGACTAAAAAGTTATGATGAAATGTAGCTCTCCACGTTCACGATCACAATGTGTGCGGCCCTTTTTGGCCACCGATAAACCTGTGTGTGGATATATAATCTGAATGTTATGCCAATAATATAATTAGTTGTTTAGTTCAGTTGACCTGTAGAATTTCAACGTCGTACATATAATAATTTACGAGATAATTAAATAAAAGTCATTAGAAGGTGCAAGTCCGTGATAATCCGACCATGTTTAGGTGGTTACAAAAAAGCGATCACCCAGTACATTGCGCTGTCTTTTAAAATGTTTAGTGTAATACATCTTACGATTTCGGTACAGTTGCGTACAGTGTTAAATACATTCAATATTTAATTATTATTATTACCTATTATTTATCTTGTTTTTTTTTCCTAATTGATCTTAAGCACTAGTTTCTTTACTTAAAATTTCTTTATTCTTTTTAACTACCGAAGCTACAATCAACAGAAAATCTGCACTGGCCCGCTAAAATTATAAATATGTAGATACATGTATGAACGATTCACCTGACTGCAATAAATCAAAAATTTAAACCAATGAGAAATCGTTTCATTTCTTTGATTTTTTTTTGTAAAGAAATAACACTAAAGTAATTGTATTTTATTTTGAGGTGTAGGTATAGAGCTTAGACTTGAATGCATCAAAATATTTAAAGCAACAAGTCATCTACAATAAGTTGAAATATACCATAATAGTAGAAGAATACAGTTGTAAATTAGAATGCATCAACATTGCATCGCCCAACAGTCTTATACCTCGTAAGAATAGGTAATATTGTTCTGTGGTCTATACCGAGAACCGAGAATTATCTATACCTATATACCTACCGCTAAGCGTTGAGCCCGTGACTGTTGATTTCTGTTAAAAACGAACAGTTGTTGAATGATATTTTGATATAATAACGGTAATTTAATTTATCGAGTGAAAGTGATACATTTTTATAGATAAAATTATTGGTCAGATAATATTTGTCAATCAAGAATCGCCGATAATACATCCTTAGCTAGAACGCGGAAGGGGAAGGGCGAAGGGGTACTTCATTGTTTGCAATTTGCATCTAGTGCACTAAATTTGACCCTTAGGCAAATAATATACGTCTTGTAAAGTGTGTGTGCGCTTCCGCTTTCTATTTTTGCAAATATTTATCGTATTCTTGAGTTCTTCAATATGTGTGTACCTAATTACTAGTAATGGGCATTAATGCTAATTAGATTCAATTTAAGTAATTGCGAATTCTTGTCTTAGGATGTTAATCACTAATACTAATATTGAAATTTCGTTCGAGGTGAACAAATTAAAAACGATCATAACTTGTAGGTAGGTATATCACTTATTACTAATTTTACATAAATTATTTATTTTATTATAATTTAACTCACCGCGATTTTGTGATCAAATATTTTATTTTCTCCAACATTATTACAGAAATAATGGCATACAGAGTTTGTTCGCGATATGCTAGCCTAAGTCGATTCATCACTTAAAAAAAAAATATAGTTTATTGTTAATAATATAGTTATATAAAATCCCCATCTATTCACAAAATACCTATTTACAACGCATACGTTACACTCTTCAATACTTAAATTACCTATACCTACCCTAAAATTAAACTTCAATTAACAAATACTACACAGGTACCAATTCTATGAACAACTATAAACAATTCACCTAAACATTACGAGAAAACAAAAGCATTCAAAACAATACCTAATCTCCCGGCTGATTACTAATTATTAGACTTGCAACGAATATTCGGTTACTATTCGGTATTCGGCCTATTCGGCTGCTTTTATTATATTCGGCCGAATACCGAATATCTACATATTATTCGGCCGAATACCGAATACTTAAATAATATATTTTGTCATTGAGAAAAAAATGAAAAATTAAAATCGATTGATTACGTATATATTCATATTTTCATTTCTGTTATAATCATTTAAGTAGTCATTGGTGCATAACACAGGTACATAATCATCTTCTGAATAGGAAAAATGGAGGATTCTATGTATTTGAATTATTGTGGGAATCAAATTCAAAATCAAAAAAAAGTAAGGTTCTCATTTCTTTTATAATCATTTATTAAGTAGTCATTGGTACATAAAACAGGTACATAATTTAATTCACGTCTGTACAAGTTTTTGGCGCTAAAATCCAGCCGAATACTTTTGCCTAATATTCGGCTATTCGGTCAGGGGCCTCGCCGAATATTCGGTATTCGGTATACTGCCGAATATACTATTCGTTGCAAGTCTACTAATTATGCAATAAAAAATCCTAAATAAAAAATATTTAAAAAACATGTAGTTTTTTGTAACACTTATGTACATATCCGTAGTAAACTTGCAAATAATATCCTACATATTTTAAAAGCCAGCACAATATACTGGGTGATCGCTTTTTTGTAACCACCTAAACATGGTCGGGTTACCACGGTCTTGCACCTTCTAATGACTTTTATTTAATTATCTCGTAAATTATTATATGTACTACGCTGAAATTTTACAGGTAGACAACTGAACTAAATAACTAATTATTGGCATAACATTCAGTTTAAATATCCACACACAGGTTTATCGGTGGCCAAAAAAGGCCGCACACATTGTGATCGTGAACGTGGAGAGCCACATTTCATCATAACTTTTTAGTCACTTACAGTATTCTTCAGCTCATGCTCAGAGATCAAATAGCATTTCAGAAGGAGTAAAAATAAAACCTGGCATCTTAAATTTTTTAGTAAATAAAAATACAACTAAGACAAATAACACCCAGGATACAAACGATACAAATATATAGCAATTAAGCCCCTCCTCCTACATAAATCTAAACAAAAATGAAACAAATGGAACCAGAAACATGAAACATCTTCCAACCCGGCTGGTCACCGTGGAAGATTATGACCACAACCCTCCAAAAGAAACTTCACAGACAGAAATCAGGAAAAGTAAACGATCAACACAATTAAAAATCACAACTTACAATGTGAGGAGCCTATCGTCTTACGAACACTTAGGTGGAATTAGAAGAAGCAATACAAGAAATTAATTACGACGTAATAGGTATTTCAGAAATGAGACGAATTGATAACAAAATCGAGGAATACAAGAACCTAATACTTTACCACATAGGATGTATACCGGGTAAATATGGAGTGGGCTTCATTATAAATAAGTCCCTTATCTTATTGGAGGAGGCCGTTACCCAATATGGGGTTCCTGCAGATACTGCTATAAAATAAATTATGTTAGGCTACAATACTATGTTATTTTAAATAAGTAAATTAGAAACGTAAACACACTAGTTAAGCGTATTATATATATAAACTACTAATTTAAGCAAAATATATCAAAGATAAACCCTTTAAAAAAAAAAGGTGAACCGACTTCAAACAACACCGACAAAGAGCACTAAAAATTAAAAAATAATTACAAATCTAAGTAAAAAACTATAATAAGTACCCTCAATGTAACAGGTAACATTATAATACCAATAGTCTCTTCTAGTCTGTTTGAAGTCGGTGCCAAGCCAAATAGGTGCTTGATAGGCATGGTAAAATGTAGCGCGGCAGCTGCAACAGTCTTCATGCTGCGCAAAACATGTTGAACGAGCTAAAGTGGACGCACATCTCCAATTATATTATTATTTTGAATGGTTTAATAAGTAGTTGATAAGTTTGAGCACGTAATTTATCTGGTTGGTCTTTATTAATTAACAAAATCTTCGATGTTTCATTAGAATTATTTTGAATTCTTAATTTTTCATTGTGCTAATACACAGCTGACATAGACCAGTATTACTTATTGTGCATCGAGCTTGGCACCGACTTCAAACAGATTAGAAGGGACTATTGGTATTATAATGTTACCTGTTACATTGAGGGTACTTATTATAGTTTTTTACTTAGATTTGTAATTATTTTTTAATTTTTAGTGCTCTTTGTCGGTGTTGTTTGAAGTCGGTTCAACTTTTTTTTTAAAAGGGTTTTTTTTACC